GTGATTAAACAGATTTTCTTTAGACTTTTTCTCCAGCCTTGAGCTCCAATGCTAACACGCTAACCACGGGTGTAGAGCTGCGCTGATGCCCAGAATGGAGCGTCATGCCCTGGGAGTCATTTTGAGAGCTCCCTTATGCTAACAGTCTTAATTGTGGAAGTAATTATGAAACCCCAAAAAGGCGGCTTTTGTATCATACTTTCTCTGTTATAACAATTGTTTTAAGAGTAATCATTAGTCTTAAAAATGTGATATTTCATGTAAATAATGCATGTGTTTAGTGCGATTGATGGATTTGCTATGGCCCTCGTTTGTGCATCACTTTGTTGTAAAGTAATTTGTATTCAGTGCAAACGTGATTATGTGCAGGGGGACATCTGTGAACATGAAGCTGGACACAGAAGACGCGTGGACTTGAACTTACAGACCAGATTTAAAGGAGCAATATGTAAAAATCTGGCCAAAAGTGGTACTGCAGTCACAGTCAATATTTTGTAGTCCTCTCCCACTCTCCCTGACTCAGGTTGCCAGATTCACACCAAATCCAGCAGCAAACACAGGGAATTATTTTATCAGTTGTTTGTCCGTCTCCATTCACATTGCCATGACAGCCGTGCTAATGCTGAATGAATGTTTTGATTAATGTTTTTTTATTATTATTATTTGGACATTTGAGATAAAAAACAAAAACAAAATAAAAGCAATGTAATTATACATAGTTTATGCAAAATAAATAAGAAATTGATGTCCAAAATAGGAGTGGGAAGAATGGATGTTGGAACGTATTTCTTCAGCGTATCAACATCAGGGTTTGCTCAAGAGGATATCACCTTTCAATTTTATTTATTCCCTATTTTTTAGACAAACATGTAAAAGTCCCACATCAAAAAGAGACTAACATTATTTTAATTGGGGTACATGTGGTCTTAAATGATTATTTTTACAATTAAGCTATAATCTGCAAAAATACGTCTTGACCTTCATCTTTTACCGTTTTTAGAGCAATCTGTCATAGAATGTGATAACATGCAATAAATACAAAAAGACATGGCCCGGAATGGAACCCGGGTTCCTACATCATAAGCGCACAGCTTAGACCGCTAGACCACCGGTTCACATGAACCAAGGCACTGTGAAGAACGGACTCAAATTAGAAAATTCTGCATCACACGTGAACTTTTATCAGCTGTCTCAATTGTTCAAAGGCGTCCCGATATAAATCCTCGTTTTAGTCTTTGTTTTGTCATTAATGATTTGAGAGTCATAACAAGACCTTTTTTAGTTCTGCGCCACATGTTATTTTACCTCTGAGATTAATGAGCCGCACGGAGTTCTGGCAACCCGATCACGGACTTACATGACACTTCCTGATTGGCGAAACGGCGGAGGGTAGGACATCAAAATCAAAACAATAACAACTTTTACGGGTCGTAAAACTAATTTTGATATTCAAATATCTCGGCTGAACTACTGTTATCAGTTAAAGATGAATTCGAAAAGAGTATGATTTAATAACGCCTTTTGAAATATTCGGGTCATTTAATGATGACTTGACATGCAAATATTACATATTGCTCCTTTAAGGTCATGAGTACTTACTTTTTGAGCACAAGCTCCTTGCCTCTTGAAATCCAACAGACCTGATCATGTCAGAGTTAATGGCTTAAATGTATTTAAGATTAGAAGTACTTAAATAAAAGCTATGAAACATGTTTCTCACGGATTGTGTGGTTGGTTAAAACAAACGCATACATCACTTTTCATTGCACACAAAGAACTAAATCATAATAATTTTATTTTATTCCAGGTTGTGATGAGTCCACCATAGAAAAGACAGTCAGAGGCAGACGTCCAGGCACCTGCTGTTGTTACTGCTGCTGCATATGTCTTCAGAAAATGAGAGATGTGTTCTAACTATCCATGACTTGTAATTAATAAAACAAATGAACATATTGGTCGTTGTAGTTTATATCATAATCCACAGGAGCTGGAGGTGATGGAAATGGATGAAGAAATGATGGCCTCTGGAAGACAGCTGCCTCTGGAAAAGAAATTCACACAAAAAATCATTAATTAATCGGTTCTTCTGGGATTAAAATCAGCCTTTTGTTACATTCAGACATGTCGACATATATGTTCATATACATGTACTGTCCCAGTCAAATTAATTAATACAAATACACAGTAGTAGAGTAGAATCAGACGCTCTGAGGAGGGGCAGAAGTACGATGCCTTTACAAACACACACATGAACTTAACATGTTATATTAACAGTAAATGTAAATACATTCCCAGTCTTTAACAGGAGGCTGGTAGAGTGGGATTTATAAATATACCCAATTAAAACCATATCTATCAGTCTGATTCCTCTCTGTAGCATTAATATTGAATCCATGGGTTTGTTTTCTCCCTAAAGAATCGATCCTTCATTCCATCTTGGTTTCACCAAGATGTCTAAACAAGAACCGCAAAACCCCATGTACTTGGCTTTCCTGCGTTTCATTTTAGCTTAGCATTAGCGAAGATCAGCTTTGGGGAATTGCCAAAACATAGAAGCCACCTACGCGGAACTAGCTAATGATAAGCTAAGGTAAAAACATGTTCAGAAAGTACATACAGTAGTGGTTTGCGTGTTACATAACAACTAATGATGAGAAAACACACTTACCGGTTTGCTGTGGACGCCATGTTCAGATGAACAAGACAGTCGTGTTCTGGCCCTGGCTACATCTATGGAGGATTGGCTGATCGATTGCTTTGTTCTTGATTTACCCGGAAATAAAGCATGACATTTCAAGCAGCGAAAAAAAAGCATTTTTGGACACTGAATTTTTTTCAACATTGAATTTTTTGACACTGAATTTTAAAACATTGAATTTATTTACACTGAATACTTTTTTGTTAGTTTATAGAATTCAAAAGCAAAAAAAAAGTGTTGATAATAAAAACACAAAATAACCTTCATACAATTCATACACAATGCAACTGAAAGTGCAGAACAAAACAAAATAGAGACATTCACACGACACAAGGCATTAACATCATAAACAATGACAGTACATTCAAAAGAGTGAAGATAAAATATCTCCCAGCTAAACAGAATTGTTTTCAACTTGCATTTGAACATTGCCAGAGAAGAAGCCTGTCTCACATATTCAGGAAAACTGTTCCAGATTTTAGCTGCATGAATCTGAAATGCAGACATGATGTTTAGTCTATAAACAGCTGTCGGGGAAAGTGGAATGTGTTAACAGGGGGTACTCATGCCCTGTCTCTATGAGGGGGTGCACATGGCCAAAAAAAAGTTCGGGGACTTTTGCTTTTGAATCTTCCCAAATTCCTTTCTTGATATGACTGATTTATGAAGACTGCAGAAATTGTAGAACTATACTCACTATTGCATTTTTTATTATTGCAAAGAGATATGACGGCATAGTTGTGATGCAATGATGGTGAGAACACTGAGTTATACTGTTTACATATACTTGCTTATCTGGTGTATTCTCCAACTGACTATGAACAATCATTCATCACGTGTGAGTCATGACATCAGGAAACAAGTGCATGTCCTCAGCCGCACTACAGCGCCAGTGAAGACCAGAAGCCGCACTTTGCTCTCAACCATTGGGAAGGGAAAATCTGCGCAACAGGTGGTAAAATTGTGCTACTGACTAAAGACTTCCCACTGACACGGCTCCAGCGACAAAGGAGGAGGAGAAAGCAGCATGATGAATGAGTAACCATTGTGTCTCTTTCATTGATTTTGTTCTCAAAGCAGACAGCTCATGGAAGTGTCTGTGAATAGACGTTTTAAAGCTTGTAGGACCAATAGTGAAAAAAAACTTAATCTCCTAAACATCAAAGCCGGACTGGAATTGGTCCTCCATTTTGCGATCCATCTATCATCCAACTCATGCAAATCTTAAGTAGAATTAATAGTTAACGGGTAACTTGCTAATCCATCATTCTGGATGCACGGCTTTTGACAGTTTTTGAAACATATTTTCAACGATTGGTTTCCATAAATCTGTGTTCACACTGCAGTTATGAGATCAGATGTTTAGAAAAGTGTATAAAGTGTGTGCTGAGGAGTTCTACAACCTTAAATCATTTCAATCTGGAGAGACTCGAACAGACAAAACATAGTATCAGAATTGTATGTTGATTGGCAGGTAATCTGACACTGCATGAATAACACATATGACACTGGGGACCATATTTTCAAGATTACATTTATTGTGCTGTACAGAATGTGGTAAGGATTTGACGGTTAGACCCCGGCAGAGCCCTGTATGATTACAGAAGGGAAAAGAGATTATGAGATGAAATCCGTCAGGGCCTAGACCCTGGTGAAGGTAGCTTAGGAGAAGGATGAAAGAGATGGGGAGGAGGAGGGTTGCGGCATGTATGAAGCATCATATGAAGCTGATGCAGGCAGTGCTTGATTGCTGCAGGTGAGGATTTGCTTGCAGCGCTGTAGCTGAGGGTGATTGACTGATTGCTGTTGCTGTGGGCAACAGCAGGAGGACTTTGAGCGCTGTGAGCTTGGTTCTTCTGTCTTCCAGTCGGATTTTGTGCTTAAACTTCATATAGCTGCTACTTCACGGATTTCACTTTTTTGTGTGTTATTATTAGAAAATAACCCCAATATAAAAAGGGGACCACAGTATTAACCCTACTATTTATTTATTAAAACACATGCAAGACATTCAATTCACAGTGTCAGTCAATTGCAAGAGTTATATAATTATTGACAAGCAGTACACTAAGAACTTGATGGAGAAAGTTTGAAAATCAAACACATTGTACTATTCAAGACAAAAAAGTGAGGTATTTTTGTCTATAGACTTTACCAACATTCATCCTGTATGCAACGAAGCAGTCTACAATCACTTTAGAGCTCTGTGTGTGAGTCAGAGGAGGCGTGGCGTGGGGCCCTCACACACACACATTTTTTTTTCTCTCCGCTGGTTAAAAAGCGAGCGCACTGTACGGCTCAGGCACAGCGCACCAGAGGCGAAGAGGGAAAGGAGCGCTCAGTCCGTATACGACGCATCACACTGCGCTTGGAGAGAAGGACGCGCGGACACAACTATGGCACGTGCAGCGTTATAAGAGGTAAGATCTGACATTTACTCACTGCATATGACGTTTATTCCAGAGCCGGGTCAGTATCCCTGTTGGGGGTCTGTCTGTGGCGTGCGTCTGGCTAAATTAACTTCACACGCATTGATGCTTATACGCGCGTGTCTGGAGAAGTCGCGGCAATAACACAAAGATTTATGTCTTGCTTTGCCAAAAACTTGATTATTTTTGTTTGAGTGGTGGCTTTTCAAGTAACACTTCTTTCTTTTTTCGTATTGTTTGTTTGTAATGCAGCTCAGAGAGTAAACAATTGTCCTTGATACTAATAAATACTATTGTTGGTGGATGCTTAGAGCGCACTAAGCATGTACTTACGTCATATTCATCAATTGATACAAAAAAGGCAAAACCAATGATAAGATATGTGTGTGAAATCTATTTAGTTCGAAAACTTGCGCTGTAGATTCCATGTTGGTTTGATGTTGGATGTTATATATATTAAGTATCGTGTGCAGACTGTTAATTATCATTGTGTGTACGTTTTAAGGATTTCTAATGAAAATTGATCCATGTATTGGGTCTACTAGTTTTTGCTGTTGATGGTTGCTGAGGCTGGTATTTAATAAGCACTTGCAGGGAATCACATGTATGAGTATAAGAGACAAGCGGTCCTGTTATACAACGCTATCAGTGACTCTCTAAGCTTTAATAATTTTAATGTAACTTCATGTATGTTCATATTTTCTATTCAGTTGGAAAAAAAAATCAGCAATTCAGCTATGTTGAATTAGGATGATTTGGGAGCTATTTTGTGTTAAAATAAAGATAAAACATGTTTTGATTATGATGCAAATAACCATGATCTTGTTTAAGTCTGTTACAGTGATTGCTATCAACCTATAATGTTGAATTAGGAACAGATGCATTAAATGTACGTTAAATATTTGAATTGTAAAAGAAGAGAGATTTTAGTCCAGCTGGATGTGGAGGAACTTCTAAGTTGACCTCTAGAAACAAGGTCAAGTTCTATCTCTGGGTTACAAGAGAAAATCCCTCAGCTCGGCTCCCAACAAACCCAACTTCACATCTGGAGAAGATCCACCAGCGCTGCACCATGCTCCAGTTGCCCAGTGGCTCTGGCTAAAGGATGGGTTAAATGAAAAGAGCTAATTTCCCAACAGCATCAGCTCATATTCAGTAAAAATTTTACACAAAGTAGAGCAGTGTAAGCAATTTAAAGGTCCAACTTTTCTCAATCTAATCATTGAAAGGTCTATTCAAACCAAGAGACATCTAACATGGGGATGTAGAAGAGGACTTTCTTTTTGAAGAAATTACTGAGCCAATTTATAACAAAAGTTAACCATATAGCAACTGTGCAAACCTAAAAATCAGCAATAAAGAGAAAAATCAACATATTTTCTTTATGCCTATCAGATTGTTTAATAGTGTTTGCTTTGAGATTTGAGATCGGGCTGCATCTTGAGTAGGCCTGCTCCAGGGGACAATAAAGTACACACTACCTAATTATTGGTTGTACCTTTGTACCTCCATTTGAAAAACAAAATAATTACCTGAGATTGGCCTCCTTTAATGTTATTGTATCAGTGGCATTAGGTTTCCACAAAGCAAACACACACGCACGCAATTCCAGGACAGAAATCAAAATACAATCTGTACCAGAAAAATAAGAATCTAAAAAATGTAGTGCAACATGCTCTTCTACATTTGCCATTTGTTTATTTATTTAAAACATGCACAAGTACAAAAAAACATCTTGACATTACAGTGTATTGTCATTGTGGACAGATCCAAATGCATGTCCAACATTAGGCTCAATAAGGTTAGTAAGTAAGTATTTAATCTTAATCTTAATTAATGTAGCGCCTTACAGACCAGCGTCACAAAGCGTTTTATAATTTTGATTTGGTTTGTCCTCTCACTCCACAAAGAGATGGGAGCGGGGTCGCCATACAGGAGGCGCACGCCAGAGCTATTCATGTTTTTAGTGGTAGGGGAAACCAGAGCACCCGGAGGAAACCAGACTCAGGGAGAACATGCAAACTCCACACAGAAAGTCCTGGCGGTGGAATCGAACCCAGAACATTATTACTTATATAGTAATGTATCAGCACTTGCAATATATTATAATGCATTGCTGTATAATTTTTCAGCTGTATAACATACTTGAGAAAGCCAAATGTCCAGTTTGGGATTGATCATCTTGCCATCACTGTCTATCTCTCTCTAATTCTTGTACTTTCCTTGTAGCTTTTGTCCGGTGCCAGCAGAGCCACTCGCTGCATCCCCCTGTGTCCTGGTGTCCCGAGGCAGCTTCTCCTTCGATGTGGGACCCTGCCTCTCTGCTCTCGTCAGGCTGAAATCCTCCAGACTCAGGACCTCCGTCATGGCAGCGCTGCTTCTTGGCCTGCTTCTGTTCGCGCTGCAGTCCCCTCCCATCCCATCCAGACCCGAACCCTGGCCTCCCGCTGAACCCACAGACCCCTCCCTGAGCCTGGACAATGCCACCGCTCCCCACCCCAACGGGACGTCCCAGCAGTTGCCCAAGTTCATCATAATCGGCGTGCGGAAGGGAGGGACGCGGGCGCTTATCGAGATGCTCAGCTTGCACAGTTCGGTGGCAGCTGCGCAGAACGAAGTGCACTTTTTCGATTGGGAGAGCCATTATCAGAAAGGCATTCCATGGTATTTAAGCCAGATGCCTTTCGCCTACCCGGACCAGCTCACCGTGGAGAAAACGCCAGCTTATTTCACCTCCGGAAAAGTCCCCAAACGCATCTATGACATGAATCCTGACATCAAACTACTGCTCATTCTTAGAGACCCCACTGAGCGCGTGCTGTCGGATTACACGCAAGTTTTCTACAACCGGCTGCAAAAGCACAAGCGCTACCAGCCTATTGAGTATGTCCTGGTGAAAGATGGCGACATTAACCTGGGATACAAGGCGTTAAATCGAAGCCTCTACTATGTGCATATGCAAAACTGGCTGCAATATTTCCCCATGGACAGCATTCATGTTGTGGACGGGGATGAGCTGATAAGAGACCCTTTGCCAGAAATGAAGCGAGTGGAGAGGTTCCTAAAGCTGGAGCCGCAGATAAACGCATCCAATTTTTATTTCAACAAAACGAAAGGTTTCTACTGTTTGAGAGACCACGGAAAAGACCGCTGCTTACATGACTCAAAAGGACGGGCGCATCCTCACGTGGCCCCAGCCATTTTGCAAAAACTTTACAAATTCTTTCACGAACCCAATCAGAGGTTCTTTCAGATGGTGGGGAGGACATTCAACTGGAAATGAGATGTTTTCTGTACATAAGCCGTAGAGAAGCTAATTATATTTTTGTAATAGGATGTTTGTTACACCAAATATCAGGGCACACACAGTGGATCTTAACATTTGGTTGAGCTATAAAATGTAAACTCATGCACCTTTGTATCAAGTTTATTGAACCCGACAGCTACTGTGCACATTGAGGCTAAAGGATTTCAACTGTAAGAACTGGGTGATACAACAAAAAAGTGGTCTCATTGATCCAATACAAGTTTCAATTGAATTGATTTTGACCAATGGAAATAACCTTTGCTGTAATAAAGATTAGTTCATCTAAACCAGGGGTGTCCAAAGTTAAGCCCGGGGATCAAACATTGCGTAAGGACAACAGTTGGACAATAACTGACTTGCTAATACTGGCACATATACATTAATGTTAATTAATATGTACTATCCCTATTCAACTACAATAAAAAATAAAATAATTCCTCTCTTGAAATCACATATGGAGGTGAAATATTGTTTATATAGGGAAAGCCAGTCTTTTTCCTTCAAATGTAAATTAATAATCATAATATTCTCAGCAAATAAACTGTTTTATTTGACTAATTAGATTTGGTTCTTCACACAGCAATACATATTCTCTTTGTCCCGCAGACTGAACAAGTTTTTGCACCCTGGTTTAAACCTTTATCCAAATGAATACCCGTTACTTATTACTCCTTTAAAAATAAGGTAATACACTGACTAACATAAGCATTTATTTATTCACACAAAGAGCCAAAGGTCTTCTATGCCTGATATCAAATATCACATTCTTTTACTGAGTGTTCATGGCGCTTTTAGAATTGACTGCATTTATATCTCGATTACAACATTCTCAGCCGTAATTTTACCAAAATATCTAGTGTATTTATCGAGCTAACCTCATAGTTTAGGCGATTGTTCTGAAATGCATGGGATTGGTGTATTCCGACAGCAGTTCAAAACAGTCTATTCTCCCGATCACTGAAAAGATGCATCCCTCCATAAGCTGCATCACAGTTTATACCATTGTAAACATTACTGCGTTCTCTTCTGAAGGATACTCTCCTGCTGCTATGATTTTACAGTCACTTTCAGGTAGATTGTTCTTTTCAGCGTTTTAAACACATTATGGCATTACCATGTTGTATTGTAACTCGTGGGATTTGTTTTCTTACGTATAAAGGAGTAACACCTTAATAAAGAGGAATTTATTTTTAGAATGTCTAGTGTTTCTTTTTGTTTTCTCTTTTTTACCTAATCACTGTGATAATGGTTCACAACAAGGACAACATGTTATTATTTCTTAGGAAATTGGTGAACAACAAAACAGTTTCGATCAGACAAAAACAATTTCACATCAAAACATGGATTATTTGACAAAAAGGGTCAGCAGAAGTGTGACACTTATTTTCCTGACCAAAATCAAGATCAAGCCATAGTTTTGAGGATAAAGCAGCTCTGCAGCCTAACCATGTTAATGGGACCTTTTTTAAAGGCTTGAATCAAGTGTTTCTTATCTTGATTTTATTTTTTACAATAGATCTGCGATCTGCAAATTCTCATTAGGAATGAGAACTAACTCCTGCTGCATTTGTAAATACAATATTTTTTCTGTCCCATGTGCTCACATCGAGATAGACTTTGATGCATAGACTACTAGAGCCCAGAGACTCGTGTGGTCAAGTGGCTGGGCACGTCTTTGGGAAGAAAAATATCGTAATCTGTATCGTTATCGCACTCCTGGACTCCACTAGGGCATATCACATTTACACGGCCTTGCAAAAATATTATTACACTTAGAACATTTTTTTCTATAGTTCACTGAAAACTCACAACAAAGTAACAGACAGCTATGAAGACAAATTATACATGCTTTTGTTAATTTAAAAGTAGTCAACACAAAGTGGGGTTTGCAAAGTAATTATACAGCACAAATTAATACTATGTGGAATCCTCAGTTCAGCAATCTTTCCTCCAAAATTGTTCTGTATTTTGCTCTATCCATCTTTGCATCGACTCTCTTCCCTGTCCATGCATGACGCTGCCACTCCCATTTGCGAGACTGGGAATGGTGCCCTGAGGGTGATGAGCAGTGTTAGTTTGAACCCTATCTTTGTTACATTGTTGTGGTCTTTCAGTAAAGTATTAAAAACCAAATCTTTATGTTTGTGTTTTTTAAATGACAAAATGTTTAAAGTGTGTTCTTACGTTTGCAAAGCACTGCATTTTCTATATCGTACTGCCCTATGACTTAAGTGTTATAGTTTTGAACAATATTATATGTTATTCATACATATTTGGGTCATTTCTAACCTCTTATAACAGGCCAGTCCAAACCAAGGCCTTTGGGCTAATTACGGCCCTCCGTGTCATTGTCTGTGGCCCTCTGCTTTCATAAGTGTCACCATTTTCAGCTCTGTCTATGTCTGTCAGATGTCTGGAATCCAGTTTGACTGTACTGAAATATCTTTTTGATTGTATGATGGTAGTGTATCTGATGAGTAAATTATTTGTCATTCAGCCAACTTTAGCTCAGTCAAATGTGAACCAATATAAACATCATACCTCGTTGTAAAGTGAAACATATTAAACAAATTGTTTTGATTTAAATTTCTATTGATCATTGACTAGTATCATAGATTAGAATTATTTAGCGGGCAAATTAAAGCACAATTATGTTCTCACAGCTACGGAGAAATAGTTGCTATTTTCCCATTGCTTGTATCGCATACCACCACCGTGTAAAAAGCAGCTATCCACGACCAGAACTCTCATAATTTTCCTGTTTAACTCGCCCTTGACAGACGCCACATTGTCTGCTCTTTGAAGGAAGCTTTGATCAGATATTATATTTCATCGCTTCCTCCTTTCGCTATCTTGTTTTTACACATTCAGGCACAGAGTTTTTGTGTGCAAATTAGGATCAGCGGGAGACAATTGAAAGGTAAACTCCAACACAATTGGTGCCGAGCAAAATCAAAAGCAAAAGTTGTTTACGCCCGAGGGTCTGATCTGACTGCCTTTTCGGAGAGGCGAGGGATTATTTATTCAAATCTTATTTCCACTTTGAAAACATCAGCAGCAGCGTCTCAAAGACATTAAGCTCGCAAAACCAAACAGTAGCTTGCTCCTTATTTGAATGTGGCCTATTTCTATCCGCAGGGCTTATCTGGCAACAAAAGTTAACCCCGTTGCCCTTTGAGACACAAAGCAAAATTATATATTTTTCTTTCATATTGTCAAACAAAACTTCCTGGTTTGTGGGTAGATATAACTTTATCGAATGTGGAAAAAAAACAATAACTGGCAATCATTGTTTCCTTCTTTTACTGGAAAAAATGAACACAATCAAGCATGCTGTTATCCTGTTTTGAGCGAGCGAGGCTGACCTTCTAATGTTTCAATAAATGTTAAAATATTTTTGCTTGCAAACAAATAACTTTCTACTGTAGCTTTGTGGTTCATGCCTCTGTTATATGTTTGCAGAGATATTCAAAGGATATTAAACCAGAGTTAATTTTGACAAGAAATTATAATTTAGTTTTAATTTAGTCATAATCCTTTTGACTACAATGATTTTTTTAAATGAATGACTATTTTATTTAGTTTTAGTGCTAAAATTAAAACAAATGTAGTCACCTAAATAGTTTGGGTCCTCGATATGACGTTTTCATCCTATACATATACTTAGTAATGTAAGAACCTGCAACTTTCATTAGACTTAAAAACTTCATTAGAGTAAAAGTACTTTATCTATGTACCTATTCATGTCCATGTGATCTGAATAAGCAGTTAGTGCCAAAAACACTTGTTGATCTCTGCCTAAAACGTCAGTTAGCGACGCACAAGGCTCTTTCTTACAAATATGCAAAAATATGATATATTTTCTCTTAATATTAACACCAAATGTTCTGGTCAGAAATGTTGACATTGTTTTACTTTCTAAAAACTTTCGGTTGAGACAAACAATATGTATTATTTATTTAAAAAGTTAGGTAGCCAGGCTTTAATTTGGTTGCTTATGGGGCAGAACTGTGTTAGAGACAAAATCAGCAACCACATGGAGCCGTTGTCATTGCGGAGTTTGGAACATGGATACGTCGTTTCCTGCTCTGAATTAAAAGAGAATATCTCACCAGTGGTATAGTGGTAATAATGGAACATTACATTCTACTTTTACAATAAACATCTGATATGATTCAATTAAAAAGATGCACAATTGCAATAATGTTGCTTAGAGAAATTATCTTAATTCATTTGGCAGGGATGGTTGGGTTGGGAATGGCAGGGACATGTTTGTGTCAGAATGTCTTGATATTGGATGAAGGTAAAAACTACTCTAGGTCTGTTTATGCCTAGGACACGAAAAACAGACCTTGTTACAACAACTTAAACATAAATATATACATATATAAAAAGGGAAACAATTAAATAGTTGCCATATGAAGTAGAATGTGCCCTCGGAGAGCACATACCCCGCCAACATGACAGATAATCACATTTTTTAATGAGCTCTTCCAACCATCACCTCCCATCTATACACACACACACCACATACACACATATAATACATACACACATGACACACGCACGACACATACATACATGAAACACACATGACACATACACATATGACATACACAACACATACATATATGACACATGCACAACACATACACATGACACACATAAATGGCACACAACATACAAATGCCACACACATGCATGCCACACACACACACATTCCAAAACCCCCCCATTGGCGGTATAGAAAAGTACAGTCGATGCCGGAATAAACTAAACGTTAGTGCTGAGTATTTGCCAGTAATGGGTGAATCCAGTTGGACGGCAGTAGGACTGAAAGCCTTTAAATCATTTGATCTCCAGTAAAAAGAAAACCTGTACCAAGGACCCTAGTTTCACATCTACCTACTCTGTTTCAAACTGTGTACATATATGTATCTAGGGTTCTTATTTTATTGTATTGGACAATTAAATTG